TTATAGTTTTTTTGTAAAAGAAAAATCCACTAATAATCGGGGTTTGCTCGGAGGATGTGTTGGTGTGAATACGGTTTAATTGCGGCCATTAACAAAGAAGATTTTACGATTGCTTATAACAAACGTATCAGTAAATTTTTATCGGCTGAATATTTCAAAGGCTTTAATGAAGGGTTCAAAAATGGTTATGAAATCGGAAATCGTTTATCAAGCTGTATGTTTGTAGTTCCTGATTTGGATAATAAAAATGTACGAATTCATGTACCAAAAACATAATTTGCTTTAAAAGAATTAAATGAAGAAATGCCAAGAGAAGAGCTTGAAGAAATGCCAGCAGATTCAAATGAAAAAGAACAAATAAGTCAGCAGCGATATGACGATATCTGGATCAAGAAGTCATATTATTACGAAGCACTGCCTGAGCTTGAGCCTGATGCCAGATTACAGGTAGCAAAACTCGTCAAATAGAGATTTGATACAGCATGGAACCGAATGAAAGAGGATCATAATGCTATTAATGAGAAGTTTGATATCCTCTATCAGGCAATGAAAAAGATACACAAGAAATATAAATTTACTTCTCGTTTTAAATTGTTTTAATAAAAAATAAAAAATGAAACATTTTAATAACATTAATTATCAAGTGAATTTTCTTCCTCTTGAATATCTTTTGGTTCAAGTGATTCAATGTCATCACGATCGTCTCTAATTTTATTTTGAATGAAATAGAGACCGAATTTTGATGAACATTTCCATACATATTTTTCCAAAATATATAGATATGGATGAGAATTATTAGGAGTCAAATCATCACCAGCTTCGTTGTCTGTTTGATAATATGTGCTTTTATTTGAAGCTATTAATTTAATATTACATGATTGTTTGGTTATACTGTCATCAAAAAATCCGTTATTAGTATTTTTTTTCTAAAGGCACATTAAATACAAAAAGTGTGTTATCTTGTAAAGGATAATTGAAATTTGTACGAATCATAGCAGAATTATTAGGCAAATGTGACATAATAAAATCTTCTTTGGGTTGAGCATCATTAAAAAAATTTGGATTGTTAATGTTTCCTGATTTGTTACAACAACTTAATTGTTATTTAAATTTGATAAAAAATTGATTTTATATATTTTGAATAAAAATCATAATTGAATTAAACTATTGATAAATACTTATCATTAAGATTAATAATCGGGTCATATAAAACATTTAAACGATCTTCAAGTGGTTTTGATTCAACTCCACAAATGAAAAAAAGATTTTTTTGATTGTGTATTCAGAAACCATATTGACTGCTTCAACAATTAACTGACAAAACACCTCTCTTTCAACCATTTTCCTGTTTCCTTTATGTAGTGAATTTTCCAACTGTTTTGTTACTCATCCAATCCGACCATTTTTCCTGAGAAGGTATTTTAATGCTATAAACACAAAGACGTCAAGGGGATGCAAAAATGAGGTACAGTTTTCTGGAAACAGGTTGATTTCAATATCAAAAGTTGGATACTTTTTAATTTTTACATGAACATAGAAGTTAACCATCCAATATGATATGGAGTCGATCCCAACTTTTTTGCTATATGGTATTATAACTTTTTGAACCCATTCATTCGTTATATGGCTGTTGTTGCAACTATTTTGTGATACCACGGTTATCACACCTGTATTTTTTATTGCAATTTTTAATTTAGAAAATATAACAAAATGTGTTAATACACTTTCACTTTTTGTCATACATAAAATAAGTAATGTTTTTCAATGCTCTCTCCACAAGTTGCGACACCTACATGTTTGACAATTTTGGTTTCAATAGTGGTTTTTTGACCATATCAAACTCAATTCCGGTTTCGTCCATATTTAAAATTGCCTCATCTGGTACACCAAATAGTTTTTCTTCAATACTTGTAAGATGTAGAACTGTTTCAATTTATCGTCTTTTTCTTCTTGTGGATTTTGAATATAAGTGTGTGTTTTTTCTTGTAAGATAAGTTGTATATTCGGAGGAAGCCATAAAACCAATAAATTTTGTTGGTTAACTCAATTTGTGGATAGTGCTGTTTTATATAATTAAAGACCATTTCTTTTGACATTACAATTCCACATTTTCTACATTTTTGATATAAATGTAAAGTTCTTGTTCCAGTTAGATAAACTTGGCACTTTTCTTTGCACAACCAGGTGTATTAATTATTTGCCTGGTTTTTTTTTAAAAACAGGGAGTTGGTGTTACGTTTTTCCCATATAAAAATATTATTTAAAAAAACTTAAAAACAAAAAACTATCAATAAAATAACACTGAAGCGTTATTAGGCTTCGGTATAAACTGTGTAAATTTTGGTAAATGTATGGTTGTGTTCTTTGGTACTAAGCCTGTCTTCATTTAATTTTACAACCTCGTTTAATAAAAGTGTTTTGTATTGCACTTCTTTAAATAAGACTTTAAGTCCTGACATATTCACATCAAATGATTATAACCCAAGATTTTTATAACACGAGTTTAATTGTGCAGATGAAATAAAAAGGGGATCTTTCATCATATTTCTTTTAAATCCAAGAAAACTCTCAACTTTTTGGTCAACAATTTCAATTACGTACAATTTAAGTACATTGTTAGG